GATAAATAGAGCTGTGAACAATGTATTGTCCCTAATAACGCCAGAAGCCATCATTCAGAAATCCACTAATGCAATTCAAAAACTGTATGATATAGTTTGGTAGGTTTCTATCCAGGAAAGCAATGGAACATAAAGGACTTCTTCCTGAATGCAACAGATTTCGCCACATGCATTGCAATCATTTACCGACGGCAACGCTATTCGCGGTAAAGTTTTTGTTGCAAGAATTTTGTTGTTTAATCATTGTGTAAATTATATTTGTTCACATCCACGTCATTTTTGTTTATTTTAAATCTAGTTTATAGCTTGAATCAAAACGTAAGCAGTTTTTGTAAAATCGACACCGAGAATCTTCCGATGGCGATAAATTGAAAGAAAAGAAAAGTGAGACCCAAGGTGTTATGGAAGCCAGTGAAACTCACCGGAAGAATGGAAGGGGAATAGAAGATTTTTTTAAATTCACCCAGTTCTTCAGAACAAGCTGATTACTTTAAAAATAATCTTGATAAAAAGGAAAATTAGACACAAAACATTAAGGAAGCAAGATGAATGCGAAAGAAGGAGCTAAGAAAACAGAAGAAAATTCGCCACAGAAAACAAAAACACCGAAGTAGACGTTAAAACAAAACAACAAGGAAAACCAAAAGTCGACGCAAGCAATAATAACAGAGTAAAAGTAAAGACCGAAAAGGGATACAAAATTATAATCAGAATGATGAAAATAACCAAAGCTTGACTGAATTTTTTCCAGCTCTTGATATTAAGGCAACGACAAGTGTGGAAAAACGCAAAGCAAATTAACTCATCGGCACAAGTTATTGTGAGTCTCAATAAACTTTAAATAAAAACTTACGTTAATACTCATTAGTTTCTATTTTCATATAAACAGTTTTATATATCTAAAAAAAATCACAGTTGACGTTATTTGGGACAAGGTGTTCCTAAAAGCGCCAACTGCAATGTATATCAAAAAACGAAAATTTGTTAGCTTGAGTTGTTATAAAAAACATGGTAGGTACCATATTTTTTATTCTTATCAAGATTCATGAAATTTTAGAGGTTATTTATGAAGCTACGCAAAATCAAACGTTAATATGGCGTTATTTTTAATCCATTTTTTTATCAGGTTTCAGCATACTTTTTCATTGTCTTATAATTTTTGTTCTAACAACAAATTCATCGCCAACTAAGAAAATACATCACTGAAGTAAAGACTGAAAGGTCCATTTAAATGTACAAAATTTCAGTACAGCGTCCATATCAAAAAAGTTGCTGATGGAAGTCGAAAAAGGAACCTCGAATTGAAAGTTTAACTACGCCATCTTTTTTATAGGAGAAAAAGTAACAATTGCATCATGCAATTTATTTTGGAAAAAATGAGACCAATTTTCCAATAATTCTCTTATGAGACACAAATGACTATCGGATTCGAAGTTTTGACAATGTCATTTTTGGAATCAGAATTAAAATCTCTATTCATCTGTGCAGAAATTCAATATGGCGTCTATAAGATAAAATAAATTTGCTGCTGGACGGCAAGAGACGAAGCCTCATATTGAAATTCTAATCATACCATCTTGTAGAGGTGAAAAAGGGACAACGTTAATGTGCAATTTGTTTTTAAATCTCACTACAAAGCACGCCAGGAAAAAATGTTATTTTGGGTAAATTGAGCTTTTTCCGTGTCTCTCCGGAAGTACTTTCTAAGCGGCATTTTATGAATTACCTAAATACGCAACTTTGTTGCCATTCAAGCGACTTCGTGACTCTTACAGTTTCTAAGATCCCAAAGATGAGGTTCGAATTTGAATTACCCGGTAGACGCCACTGACAGCCCTAATGGGTTACAACCTCTGTTAGAAGTATGAATCTCAAGCCGAATAAGAGAAAACCTTAGTAAAACCTTGTAATTTGTCGGTCAGTCGGTTACAGACTTCTACAGCTTTCGTTGTAGTGAAGGAACCGTACTAAACCAACATCAGCGTCGCCGTGGAGTCGTTGCCGACCCGGCGGCGGGGCGATCAGCGGAGCGCACATCCGGCGACGGGCGGTAAAGCGGCGGGCGGCAGCCCTGAGACCGACCGCCGGCATTGTTCTCTCTCACTCTGCCTCTCCTCCTCTCACTGTAATAACGCCGAAACCGAAACGATAGCCCATGGGCCGTAGCAGTCAATCACGCAAGGACTCTTCAGGTCTCAGGTCGCCCCCTAAGCGTAAAAACTCGGTTAGTCGGTTAAACTCAACGAATTCCGACTAGGTTAGAAGAAGCCAAGCCCATATGATCTTAAACGATTGTTTGTTAGCAACATTATTGTTTACGCAAAATTGGTCCTTGAACGAAAATTGTATACTTTTCCCCGAGTAGGCATCTGCTTTTATCGCGCTTAAACTGCTTTTTACAAAACATGTAACACTTCACCATCTTCGAGAATAGTCCAAAATGCTATCTATTGCACTGAAATGTTTCAAAATCCTCAAAACTCTGTGAAAATATCACGAAAAAACACGTAAACATGACAACATGAGCAAAATAAGGCTTCCCCGCAATTGCACAAAGCCGCAGCATAAAACACCAGAAATCAGCCCAGCTGTTCTCAATTTGCCACCACAGCGATGCCACGTTTAGTACGAAAAGATTAGTTTTTCAGGAAATATCACCGGGATATAACAATTCATATTTCTTAATTGTATTCGGTGCTTATTTCAGATGTATTTTGAAATGCTGAGTTCGAAACCAGAATAAGAATAGCTCAATACGTTTTCGGAAATCGCTGTGATGTTTTTTGAAAAATTATTTGTTTTTTGCGAGTGTTGTGAACTTGGTAGGTTTTGAAGCTATTATGACACTTTATCAGTTAGTGGAAACATTATAATATGAAATATATTAGGGTACTGAACCAAAGACTTTCTTTTCGGTGCAGGTGTTACAAACAATTTACAACTGTTCTATTTGAAAATATAACATGTTCGAGACAAATTAATGCTCTTTAGTTATCACAACGTATAATATTTTACGATTATTTTTGCACTGCTCAGTGCATCATCAATCGATTGCGTGTAGGCAGTTATTGATTTTGAACAAGATGTGGCGACACCGCAGAAAACTGGTAGCCACTCGAGTTTGTGTGTCGCTCTAGATGATTGATAAAAACAAATCCATTCTTTACATCTTCTACCCGTATTTGAATTCGTTGGTTACACTAGATATACTGTGACTGACAGCAATCACAGCAATTTTCGAGCTTATGAACAAGGAATCGTAAGTAGAACATAAGATATAGATTCCTGTAGGAAGGCTCTCCAGATTTATAAAGCGGAAGACCGAAACCTGAATGCTTGTCATATACATTTTTTACTGCCTATATTTTGGACATTCAGGGTTACAAACACGATATACAAACAACATAATAAATAGTCAAATAAAAGACATGCTCAAGCGGGTAATTCTGTAGGGAGGCGTTACTTAGCAAACGTAACATAGCTCGAACGTTTCGTCGTACGTTCAGGTTACGCTATGTTTTAAAGATAAGTCTTGTTTAATGATTTCAGCAAGGCCAATGTTTGTATTTGCTGGAAGACAATCTACAAGATTGCAGACGAAAAAGTAGCAGAATGTAAAATAGATTCAGGAAAAGACGAGATTCAGTCCCAGCAAAAACAATTTGTTGGGTATAAAATTTACAAACTAAAGGCGATAGGCAGTAAAGGGAGTAGTATTAGAAATAGGGTAATAGGTGTTATCACATTATCCTCAAAGCAGTTGCAATATGGCAGGGTAAGGAAAAGATTGGTGCTTTCATTAGAGGGCTTGACTCAATTCGTTCTACTACTTATAGTGTCTAGGTGCACCTGATAGAACAGCAAACGTTCTTCACTTGGGAAAAAAAGAACTCATGCTGCAATATCCTGAGAGCTGCAGTGTTGTGGGAGTATTTAGGAAAGGTACTTCCCGAGAAGAGTTTCGAAGCAAACGTTCCACAAGAATATTTTATTGAATGCCGTGCTCCTTATAAGCATAGAATTTTGGCCTCCTGAAGCCGATTTTTAAAGCCGCGTACAGATCGAAAATCCAACACCGAGCAAGCGAATGCAAGCACATGTGACGTTGGCGTTTGTCGTTGGAAAGTATTGCAATGCGCTCGTCTACACCTAAATTTAGTTTTGAGTTGGACAACGTTGGGTTACGTTTGCAGACAAACGACTAAATACCAGAAACGCAGCAAATCCTGTCCAGACCAAATCAAACCTCCCTTTGATGTACCGATCAAGGAGCGACCGCAATCGAACGCCAACGTCTACCTTGGAAACCGTCGGCTTATGTTGGCTCGCGCCGTACACACTGATTCGAATTCCTCCAAATATGTAACCGCATGTGCCTTGGCTCGTGTTGGAATCTCTGTTGACGAGTTGGTTCAACGATTCTGCCTATGTCTCCAAGCTGATTCAGTTGTCGAATCTCGGGAAAATTTTTCCATAGAAAAATATTCCACTGATGTTTTGTTATAAGACTGACATATTTGGCATATTTGGTGTCGTAGAATGTAATAGCAAGTGGTGGTGTGAGGTGCTGTTCTCACCCACAGGAACTCGATATCATAATAGTTTGGAATGGTTTTCGATCCAGCTCTAAGGTACCCCTGGGGGGACGTACAAGGAGCTCAATGGGGCCTAAGTGCTGTAATCTTCGTCGATTGCCCTTCCTTGTATAGAGATTGGTACAGAGGATACGAGGGATGTCTTTTAAGTTTTGCATATGGAAATAAAACAACACGGTAGGTAGTTTTAAATGCCTTTTTTTGTTTTTCGAAGTATTCTCCACGAAGATTAATACACATCTGCATGTGCTCGAACCAATTTTCGAAGCACTGATTCCACTCGTTTGCTGGCAGATCCAAAACGGCATTTTTGAATGCGTCAACTGCCTCTTCTGGTGACTGGAACCTATGACTACGTAGTCTGTTTTAAATTTTCGGGAAAGTAAAGAAATTCTTAGGACTTAGATCGGGACTATATGGAGGATGGTCCAATAATTCCACGTTTTCTTCCGTTAAATACTGCCTTTTTTTTGGGCTGTGTGCGAGCTTGCATTGTCTTGGTGGAGGATGATTCTCCCTTCGGGGTTGATTTTTCGAAGCTCGGTGATGACTTTTGGCAAACAAATGGTGGTATACCAATCCGCAGTAACAGTTCTTTGCTCATTAAGAGGAATTTTTGCAATATGACCCGCATTTGACACAAATGTCGCGACCATCTTTTTCGAAACACTTCGAGAACGGATGACTATTGTTGGCTTTTCTACACCTTGGAACACCCAAACAGCCACTGTCGTTTATGTTCTGGTTCATAATAGTAAATCCACGATTCATCACCACTAACAATGCTGTACTCATTTTTTGAGTTTCCGGAATTGAAACGGTGAATGGTTTTTTGACACCAATTAACCCTGGCTGCTTTCTGCTCTTCAGTGAACAGGGGGGTATCCAACGAGAAACTTATTTTCTTACTCCTAATTCTTCATGTAAAATTTTTTGAATTGAGGTCTTTGAGATCTTCAAGGACGCCTCAATCTCGCGATATGTCACATGTGTATTTTCAATGATGAGTTTGCGCACAGCATCGACGTTTTCCTGGATGACTGCCTAATGACATGGTGACACTTAAAAATTCACTGTATTGAGAACACTGCACGTATTGTTGTGAAACCTTGAATTTAAGTTTATTAAAGAGCGGGGTTAAGATTCAGAGCTGACCTTCGGTCCGCGTGGCCTACTATGTTTCTATATGCAAAACTTAAAAGACATCCCTCGTAACGTCACTGACTAGTAGGAAGGCTTCCGCCATTATTAGATTGTTTTGGTTTACAAAATCCCAGTACATAACAAATATGTGAAGGAGTGAAGAATATGCGGAAGGTAGCCCTGTGTATGCAAACATATTTCTTGGTCACTCGTATACAACTGACTTGCATGTCACCCTTCCTATTTCAACTCTAGCTTTTCTGAGGCTATTCACCACTGCTACCCCCACTAAATCACTTCAAAAAACACAATAACGCACTAGAGAAGTATTTTTATTTAAACTTCAATAAACGTTTGATACGACCGGTACAATGGGGTTGGTTCTCAGCGAAATGAGAAAAAACTACCATATGATTGAATGATTGAGGCAAGCACTAGCTACTGCGCATGCTCGGGGTATCTGAGGTTATAGTACAAAATCGCTTGAATCGGCAGATATCAGGTTTCCTTTTCCAGGCAACCAACCCTGTTGTAATCTGCTGTATCTGCAGACTTAAAAGGCCCTATCTTAGACTAAGGAAAGTGTTTATATGGCGGTTCTGTCAAAGCACAGCGTTACTATATGGGTCGGAAAGAATTTCCCTAGAAGAAGCACAAAAATCCCTCAAAGTTGCATCTTTTCCAAAAAAAAAATCCAAATCACTGTTAATTAATGAAAGGGATAGGTCTTTCTTATAGAATGAGGGGATGTCTACAGGGTGACTTCGAAGTTGAGTCATTTATTTTAACAGTGAGTAGATCTGATCAAAAGAAATGTTTTTTTCCTTTAACATTTTTGTGGTAAAATTAAAGTAACAAAGTTTTAGCCCTTTAGAAGTTTGAGTACCGCCCTGTCTCAATAATAATATTATGTGCTCGTGTTTGGCAACAACGGATATACTCCGCCTTATCGGTTCATCGCATCGGAAACAAAAAAGCGAAAGAATTTGAAACGCTGATCACGATGTTTTTATTCAGTCAATGTGTCAGTCGGTAACGCGTGAGTGAATAGTGGTGTTTGCTGCGTGGCTCAAACGAAATAAAAAATGGCACATATTTATGCGGATCGGTTTCCCAATCGAGTGCAACCAACCCCTCGTGCCTTTGTTAATGTAGTACAATGGGCTCGTGAATCAGGTGACTTAAGACCTCACAGGGGAGGGCATGCCGGTGCTCCAAGACCTCACGATCAAATACAGGTCCGCACTGAAATACTTGTCGGGAGGATACTTTATAAAACAAGGTAAAAATTTTTTTTTAATTTTTTTTTATTTTTACACACATATTTTGGTTTATCTTCCTTCTACAATCATTATCTGAAAATTAATGACTCAACTTCAAAGTCACCCTGTATATAAGAAACGTGAGATATCCCCCAGAACATTATATCCACGAAAAATTCCCTAAGCTTAAAGTAAAATCCCCAGCAATCTTAAAATTGCAATGATGGCTTCTCGGCGTGGTACGAGACCTTTCTGGCTGTTGCCAAGACCCACTGCATAGTAGCGAAGAGAAGGAAGCATATGAATTTTCACCTGGAAACATAAATACATTGTCATAAGTTGTACATTCAAAACGGCCAGCATGGTGGCCGAAACGTTCATAAAAACAAGGAATTCAGACATATGTGGACTCTTCTAGCGGTCAGACAACCATGAAATCATGTAAGTATATAGTAAACACAGCAGGATATGTTTCACGTGTTACATTAACTGAAAATCTCTTGGTGTCATTCGAAGAGTGATTGCAGCTCCCTCTATACTCTACAGCGCCTAACGTAAATATGCAGAAACTCACTCTGCTGAAAAAACAATGATTACCTACTCGCTGAATCCTTCTCAAATTCAGAACCGTGAGGCTCGATATCTCCCACTAATAAGCACTGGACTCCGACGGGTTAGAATAAATGCAACATCCGATGGGAAAACTGCAATTTTGCTCAAGAAATCTATTTAATTCGAAATGATTAATAACCCAAATTCGAAATTAAAGGCCACTGTCACAAAAAGTAGAGCAGGCCGTTTTGCACTCCGTCCCATCAGTTGGTCCAAATATGTTTCGGATGTTCTGTTAAATCCTCTCGTGTGCCCATCGGAATTAAATAGTAATTTCTAGACGGTTGGCCAAACTGGCATTCGGCGTACACACACACACACACTCACATCCACACGCAGGCAATTGCAAAGTACCATTTATAACAGACCGAAAGGGGCACGGGGAGAGGGACGAGACAGGGTGACGTTTATATTGTTCAGAGGAATGCTAAGAATAGGGGAACCAAATATATTTCACCAGCAATGAGCCAGTGGCGAACGCCGCGCGGTTTAGTCCGGTTCTGAAGGGAACCATGGATGCCGTCGAATATGTTTTAACTTTTGGAATCTTCATTGCTAACATGTTTTTTTAGCTTTGTTCCAACCTTGAGCTCTGGTGTCATACTAGAACGGTTTGATTAATATTCGATACATTTGTATACGCATGTGCTGAATTCACCGTAACAAAAATGCTCCACAGCGATTACAAAAACTGGTTGTAATGGAACGCAGAATCGTCATATTACGATAACGAACAATGTTGGAACGCTTTTTCCTAAATGCGCAAGCGAGTGAGTAACGTGCCAAAATCACATAACCTTTTTTTTACTATTTTGATCACTTAGTAATAATTTGAACTTCTTTTTATTGATGGTAGAGTGCCGATTCCTAGGCCAAACCCTTTTTAATGATTTTCTTTTGTCAAATTCCATAGTTTATTGACTGTATGATTCAACACGTATTATATCTTTCTTTCTTAGCGACCCAGTATTATGTTGAAGTCTTTTTGACACTAATGTTATAATATTTTTTACACTTTTACTATCTCAGAAATGTCCTCATAAAACATAAAAAATATTGTTGGTCCCTCATAGAGTTGGTTTTCTAGGGTCAGCGAAACTATGTGGTTTTCTCCGAATATAAGAATATTTGGTTTCGTATCGAACATACCTTCTTCAAGGCCACTCAGTAAACCTTCTTTTAAAAGTTAGGTGTTCTGCGTCATTCACTTTCCTGCTGAGGTTGTGGTGCGTGGGTCGTTTGTTTAACTTCCAGATTTTGGGATATTAGGCCCCAAACACACACAGTTTATGGAGTATCACCTTTTTATGTTGTACCTTACGTTTAGTTGTTTTGGTTTGGGTGCTACCCCCTCCGTTTTTATGGGATTTTAACCTTCAGCGATAAGTTTCTTTTTGTTATACCATCGGAGTGGCCTTGAAGAAGATATGTTCGATAGGAAACCAAATATACTTATATACGAAGAAAACCACGAGGGACCAACGATATCTTATGAGGAAATTTGTAAGACAGTTATGGATAAAATATTATAACATTAGTGTGAAAAAGACTTCAACATAACACTGAGTCGCTAAGAAAGAAATATAATACGTGTAAAATCATACAATCAATAAACTATGAAATTTGCCAAAAAAATCATTAAAAAGGGTTTGGCCTAGGAGTCGGCACTGTACCATCAGTAAAGAGAACTTCGAATTACTACGAAGTGACCAAAATAGTAAAAAAAAAGGTTACGTGATTTTGGCACGTTACACGCGATCGTTTCAAATCGGTCCTTCGGGGATTAAAACTTTGATTTATAGAGCTTAATATTGGTTCTGGAACTTTCGGGAGCTCCCACTAAGCGAAAAATAGACCCATACGTACCCGATTGACTCGAAAAAACGGGTTAAGGTCGATATTGCATATAGACAAGAATTTTTTATAATTTCCTATAACAGCATCAAACGCACACGCACTAGTGGTGGCTGATATTTCACTATAACTGTTATTTCTAAATCACCAATCACGACCATTACCAAATATCATGAAAAGGCGTGACCACAAAATCGCGGAGCTAATGTTTGAATAAAAATCGTATACCATCCCCGAATTACCAAATACTGTCTGCCTGCGATATCGTGCCTAATAGGTTTTGGTAGTTCGGGCTACACGATTTTACCGCGGAATTTTGCTAAACGTCAGTAAATCAGTATCACCATAACCCCTTTTCTTCATCTTATAGAATTACTAGGAGCTCGTGGTGATTCAGTTAGCTGCCCAAATTACAAATTACTCTCAATAAGCACATGAGTGAGATCAGAGTCAAGTTTCACTAAAAATACCATCTACCGTAAGTCACTACACACGATACGATAAGTAACACACAACATTTAAACAATACCTAACGGTGTTATAAATAATTATGGATTTACATCTCACTGTACCTGCCCCGGTTACAATGCGACCCTCTCCTAAGACGGAGCAGCGGAACTCATCCATCGTTTTTTGCAAGTCGTAATCACGACACGTTTTTAACTAACCGATATCAAAAGGTAACGATATCGGCCATCTCTAATACACACATGAATTAAAATTGGTACACTGGGGCAATGTTGGCCGCTAATTTGATTTTTGGTTGAGATTACAGATACGAAAGAATGTTTAATTATTTTCGTCGGTAGTAATGTTTATTCAAACGTAGAAGTTGTTCAGGGAAAAATCCATTTCTGTCACAATGGAACAATGTTACAGTGGTATATTAATTTTGATCATTGATTTCTGACACGGTCTACAAGAATGCCAAACTATTGC